GATGGAATTCCTTAATGTTAGAATATTTGTTGACTATACTATGAAAAGTCCTACAAACCAAATTGTTGAAAACAGTGTAAAGAAGTCATCTTCAGGAAACAAAGTTAGCACAAGAGGAGTCTGCTCAATGAGCAGGTTTTGTGATGCAGGCAACCAGGAAGCTTATTTTCAGAAAAGATAAGAGATTATAAATATTTGACAGTTTACAAAGGGTAAGAAGATACAGTCTGTGTTCAAAAGACCCATGCGCTTATCTCAGGTTTTGTCAAGATCCTAGAGTGGACCATGAAAGTTTGAGAGCATAGACACCAGCCTGGGGCACTCAGAACAGAGCAGGCCACCTCCCCTTGTTCCTCTGCAACAAAACAACTGAACTCTGGAGGACAAACAGCCAGCAGGACAGGTCTGCACTTGACATTCTTGTGGTAGCAAAGCTTGGGCTTTGTTAACATACTGGGCAAAAAAGGGCTAGCCATGGGGAAAAGATGCTACTGAGAAGTTGCCACCAAGCTGGACAGAAGTGGCACAGAACCTTCAATCTGTCTGATGTTTGGAATGGAAAAGGGACAGCATGTTCAGTAGATCCAAACCAGGATCCACCTGTTTGCATCATCAGCCATGAGTCTTGCATGTGATGTCAGCTATGCACACATACCGTGGGGGCACGCCATGTGGCAACAGTCTAAGGTAGAGTGAGAGGATTGACCCGATTTCTTCTGTGGCTGCCAGAGAGCTGTGTGGTATCTTTACTGCATCACAGGGAAAGCAGTCAGGGCAGTGACACAAAACTGACCTCTGTGGGGTGGTTGAAGGACTCAGGGTCTTCACTCGAGGAATAGAAGATAATGGAAGTACAGTGGGGTCTTAGGATTCTTGAAGAGTTGCCATGGGAAGGAAAGATTAGATTTGACCACGGGGTTAGAAGTAGGACACGTGGATGAAAGGCTTCGGGTGGTGTGGTGTCATGTGGAAAGAGCTTCCTCTTGGTATTAGTTGCCACAAAACAACTTTGTGCCTTCGAAGGTTGGGGTCAAGAACTATAAAGGATCTGAGATTTTCACGCTGTTTGCAAGTGAACATGTTAGCTGGCCATAGCTTATTGGATGCCAGGAGAAGACATGGAATTTCTTAGACAAACACAAAGGACAGTTTATCACTCATGGAACAGCAAGCAAAATGAATATCAGCACATTTACATCAGTCTCTCTTGCCCTCATGTCCCACAAAGGCACTAAGGATGGGCCTAGACAGACATCTGTCCAAATGTGACTGAGGATAGCATGTGCCTGAGGCTTGTTACCAAGGGCAATAAATTGGAGAGGAGACAGAAAAGCACCTAGCATATAACAAGTGCTGATAAATGGTCACATCTTACTTACATGTCACGTATACATATGACTAGAAACGAATGCAGGAAAATGTGGGTTCTTAGTGCAGAATTAGTACAAAAATTGTTTTTCTTTATTTTAGCCATAGTGTTTACAAAATAAATAATAAAAAAAACACTTCCCCCCATCCCTGCTGCCCCTTGTGAGCTCTGCCCTGTGTTCCACCAGCCCCTTCCCATAGTAAACACTTTTAGACTACTCACTCCCTTTATAAAGGGAATATATATAGATTAAAAAAAAAAAAGTGTCTTGGAATTTAAGCACGGATTGAATGAGGTTTTAAAATGTACGTGTTTGGCTAATCATCTGCAATACCTTCAGGGAAGAGGTAAGTGAAATTTAAAGTCTGAATGAATTTAGAGCATGTAAAATTTTCAGAAGTTAATTTTACATCTCAAAAAGTTCTTTGGCACAGTGACATTAACTGAAGGGACATCCAGATGAATGAAGGGATAATGGAAGAACACTGGTCAGGGTCATATGTAAAGATAAAAATACTGTAATTGTTGGTTAGTTTGGTAATAAAATGATGTTGCAGCTTGATTTTGAATTTGAGGTAAATTGCTGAAAAGTCGTATAGTATTTTTCTACAACAAAAACATGTTTTCTCATTAATGTCCGTTATAGTGAGCTGCCTTCTCACAGAATAAGTTTAGCTCTAAAATATCTAAAATTCATATGTGGAGATTTAGGCCTTTTATCCAGAAGGTATATCCTGTGTTTAATTTTTGCATACCTCCTTCGACAGAAATCACTGGGATGGATGGACAGTCTATGGCTCACACACACTTGAGCCATTCCTTTGGTCATCCACAGCCCCAGACGAGGTGAGAGGCTCAGAGAAGATGAGCCACGTTCCCTGGGTGGTGAGAGGCTTAGCCTGTCCTGCCTCCTATAGAGACAGAACTGCTGTTCTCGAGCTCTTTGCTCACATGGCAGGCACACAGGACTTAGCAGCCTTATCTCGTCATCAGAACAAGTCTTGGTACATACAGCTGTTAACCCCATTTTTCAGATGATTGGGAATGTTCCCAGACTTGCCCAGCTGGGAAGGGGCAGAGCCGAGATTAGAACTGCTAACCAGGACCGTTTGTCTCCCAATTTCCGGCATATGGCGGGGCACAGGTGTGGTTGATCAGTCCTGGATGATGAATGAAATTTAGCAGATTTTACCAGCCAAAAGTCATACAGGAAAGTACATTTTACATGGCTCTCCTAGGTAGTAGGCAGACAGGACAGGAGTAGGGTGGGGTATCTGCTGCTGCTTTAACTTCTGGTTAGTGTTTTAGAGAATCTGGTGTTCCTTTAAGAAGGAAATAGGGAAGGTTTTGTTGAGATGAAAATGATTTTCCAACAAAGTTAGCAGATTTTACCAGCCAAAAGTCATACAGGAAAGTACATTTTACATGGCTCTCCTAGGTAGTAGGCATACAGGACAGGAGTAGGGTGGGGTATCTGCTGCTGCTTTAACTTCTGGTTAGTGTTTTAGAGAATCTGGTGTTCCTTTAAGAAGGAAATAGGGAAGGTTTTGTTGAGATGAAAATGATTTTCCAATATAGCCTTGTCCCGACCTTTCCTGTGTGTGTGTAGGTCCTCTCTCCTCACACAGGCACACTCAGCCTGGACTGCTGGCTAGCATCTCCACCCTCGTCTTGACCCTGAGTCTCCACTTTCCTGACAAGCTTCCCTACAGAGTAATCTTCTGACAGCTCCTAGAAGGGTAGCTCAACCTTTCCTCACACGGGCCCCATGCAGCCTCTCGGCCACACTGCCTGCTCTCAGCCTCTTGTCTTTCCCATGCTGTCCCTTCCATCTCAGTCGTTAGTCCTCTTTGCCTGGAAGACCTCTCCCACTCCTCAGCTTTTCCTAAACTTACCCATTTTTGAAGGCCCCTGCACCATGCCGCCCATCCCTGAGTGAGAATAGAACATGGGAGAGTGTAGAGACTTGGTCTGTGCCAACCTGGCTCCCCAGCAGAACTTTTTGCTGGAGAATGAATGCATAGTTAGGCTGGAGCTTGAGGAGGACGGGCTGTGGTGTTGGGGCTGCCAAGAGCGTTCCAGGGCACTCTGTGAAGCTTGGCTTTCTTTGGGTTGGGTGTGACATGGCATGCCTGTGAGGGGTACCTAGGAGAGCTGGAGTACTAGTGAAAGGCAGTAAATGAAGGACTTGCTCAGCTCTGGCTATGAGGGTGGCTGGAGGAGAGGTTGAGGCTCTTTTTCTTGGGGTGTCTCTCAGAGGCTCTTGGGCCATTAGAGTGTCCAGTCCTTGAGGGGCTAGATCTTTGAGTGGTCCTAGGGACAAGGGGATGGGGCATGGTCCTGACCCTGCCTGGCAGCCAGCTGGGCCAGCTAACCAGCTAGATGCTGGTTCTACCCTAATGAGACTGAGTTGGCCAGGATCTGGAGTCTCTGCTACCTCTTTGGTCTGTCAGGACTTGGTGTGATTTGGGTTGGTTTGTTATTTACCTCTGGTGTGACTCTTCATGTCTTCAGAAAGATAAAGAGGGATATGCAAAAGACATGTTTGATATAGGGCTGTTATCCAAAATATACAAAGAACTCTTACAACTCAATAATAAGAAAACAAAGACTCTAAGATAAAAATGTGCAAAAGAAGCTGAACGGACACCTTACCAAAGAAGATACACAGATGGCAAATAAGCATATGAAAAGATATTCAACATCATGTTTAGGGGATTGCAGGTTAAAACAACAATGATACCACTACACACCTGTTAGAAGGGCGGAACTTAAAACACCGACAACCCCAAATGCTGGCCGGAGGATGTGCCAGTGAGGAATGCTCATTGCTGGTGTGAATGCAAAATAGTACAGCTACTTTGGAAGACAGTTTGGCCATTTCTTACAAAACTAAACATACTCTTACCCTACGATCCAGCAGTCACACTCTTCGGTATTTACCCAAAGGAGTTGAAAGCTTAAGTCCACATAATTGTTAAAACTTGGAAGCAACCAAAATATATTTCAGTAGATGAATAGATAAATAAACTGTGGTACATCCAGACAATGGAATATTATTTTAGCATTAAAAAGAAATGAGCTATTAAGCCATGAGAAGACATGGAAGAACTTTAAATGCATATTATTAAGTGAGAAAAGCCAGACCGAAAAGGCTACATACTGTATGGTTATAACTAAAGTGTATAATACCATACAGAACCCATAGAATGTATGACCAAGAGTGACCTAATGTAAACTGCGAACTCTGGGCGATAATGAAATGTCAATGTGGGTTTATCGACTGTAACAAATATACCATACTGTTGCAAGATACTGATAGTAGGGAAGGCCTTGCATGTGGAGAAGCAGACATATAAGAACTCTACTTACAGTTTTTCTGTGAAACTAAAACTACTATTTAAAATCTATTTTTAAAAAATAAAGAAACCAGAACATCAATCTCAGACCTTTTCACAGCTTAGCAGACATCTTGCTCTAGGAATACTGATCATTGGTTGCCCTGAACATGACAAGGCTCCAGTTGATATATCACTTGAAATAAATTAATTTTTCAAGTAAACCGAACATCCCTGTCTTAGCTCCAGGTTTGTGAACCATGGTGTGTTCATTTTGATCTCTTGCCCTATAGGACAACCCTCCCTATGATAAGGGGGCCTTCAGAATCGAAATCAACTTTCCAGCAGAGTACCCATTCAAACCACCGAAGATCACATTTAAAACAAAGATCTATCACCCCAACATTGATGAAAAGGGGCAGGTCTGTCTGCCAGTAATTAGTGCTGAAAACTGGAAGCCAGCAACCAAAACCGACCAAGGTAAGACATGCTTCTGTGTCTTCATCAGTAGTTGCTCTTCTGGAGGCTGCAGTGGGACAGGGGCTCCTCAGTGCCTTCTAATGTCATGTCACACAGAGTCTAGAGAAATCCTACCTTTACCAATTCCAATACACACAGAAGTGCAGCCGAGGTCCCACCAGTCCTTTGGGCATGGCAGGTCTCAGTTAAACTGTTGTCTTACGCAGTTATTTGAGGAGGCCTTTCCTGTGTTCACAGCCCTGTGGGGATGCATGCAGACAGACCAGCCCAATGCTTGTCACCCGTGCAGTGAGGAATGCGGCACTGCCACTGGGAATTTTCACGAAGGATTATGGGGCTGCCTCAGTTGGGGAAGGGGAATGATGTTTATAGTGACCTCACATAGCAATTAGCACGTGAACTCAGACTTGAAGGAAGAGGGGAGGTTGGAGAAAGCTTTCCAGACTAAAAGAAGGGCACAAGCTAAAGCCACCTGGCTAGCAGCAGAAAGCCGGTGGCTCACAGTGGGTGGTGTGAGGGAGGGGCACGGTCAGACTTGAGGGCTGTGTGTCCAATGAAAGCACATAGTTTTAGCAGACCTGGAACTCCTTGGAATTGGATGTGACCGTGTATGTCCCATGTGTCTGGGTCTCTCTGTGTGAACATATACATGCTCATTTTCTAGGAAGTACTTAATTCTTGTCCCCTGGAAGTTACTAGATTTTGGTATGAACCAAATTAGGAAATTTTTGTTTCCTAATTCCAGAACTTTCTTTTGAAGTCCTAATCTCATATTCTCGGTAGCTTTTTTATAAGTAACCAGCTGAACCACTGTAACGTTTTTTTAGATTGAAGAGAGTGGATGCGGCTGGAACTTGCTAGGTTGCAGGTGGTTTTTCAGTGACTAATATAAATAACTGTCTTTTAGTGGAAACACTGCCCCACCCCCAAAGATGGAGTTGAAAGCCTTTCACATGGAAAGTTGAGCCCCAGGTTCAACACAGCTGAGTAGTAGAAAGGAGTGGGTGCTACATGCCGAGTCAAAATAGATCTCCCGTGGACTTGGCACTTGGTCATGTACAAGTTGGTGTTTATAAAAGCTTGACAAAGTTTTCCATGCAAATTCCTAGCTCTGTGTTGGAAGTCTATAGCTGCTCTTGTTCAGGAATGACTTGTCAGCCCCTCGTGCAACTCCTGGAGCCCTTGCCAAGTTGTGTATATTAAGCACCATGTCTGGAGGGGAGAAGTTCTTCCAGGCTACCCAGGCAGACCCTGCACCTCAGACTGCTGGGCCACAAAGAATTATAAAGTCTCCTCCCTTATTGAGAACTGGGGTAGCAAGCAGGGCAGAGGACAGGCAGAATGGGACATGACATGACAAGGGGGAGAGAGGCTTGTCAGGAGATGAACACAAATAAAACCACTTTGCCACCTCTTACAGGGACTGGCTGCCCAATAGAGCTGTGTCAGCATTATTCCTATTTTGAGGGTTGATGAAAATGTCCTAGAGTTAAACAGTGGTGGTGTCATACAACTTTGCAAATATACTGAAAACAACTGAATCGTATACTTTTAAAAGAGTATTTTTGTGTATGTGAATTATATCTCAGTTTTTGAAAAGAAAGTAAAGAAGCATGAAAAAGTGAGCAAAAGTAGCATGAGAAAAGTCAAGAAACAAGGCAGAACTGTGTCAAATAGGGATGTGGTAGGAGTTAGCAATAATAATACCAGAGAAAGAATGTGAAAACTGTTTTGTTCAGCAGTGTGCCTGGTTCTAGTAGATATCTAGTAGATATCTTAGCAGCAGAGTAAGGGCTTAGTTGGTGGTTGAATGACATTTGCCATATAAAATGCAGCCAATAACAAAGCCAGCATAATACTGACTCTCTATGTACCAAACAACATAACAAAATTATATGAAGAGAAAATTCAAACAATTTATAAATTGAATGTTTCAATTCCCCATACACTATTATAACAAATCAAGTAGATAAAATTTATAAAGAGGACTGAAGAAATATAACAAACCAGATAAAGTTAGTTAACATATTTTATAGTGCATTCTATGGAAGACAGCATTCAGATTTTACTCTGAGAGTGGAGCCCCCTGGATACCCATGAAAAGGGGGAAAATTAGATAGTGGTTATATTCTGTATTACAAAGAAACAGAACAAAACTGAGGAAATTTTATAGGCTTAATTCTTTGACCATATAACAATGAGAATAAAAGGTCATTTTTTATTATGTTTTTAAGCCCCTGAATATTTGAGGGGGAAAAAATGCTTCTGGGGAGCATTTAGATCAAGGAAGAGATCAAGAAACCAGTGCCAGACATTTGTAATGAGCATGCTGTTCTATATATGAAAAATGATGGGATGGGGCCATAGTTGTAGTTTGAAAAGCAGTCATAGCTATCGATGTTCTCACTATCAAAACAAGCTAAACTCAGCTGTGTTTTATTATAGTTTAGCTGAGGAATCAGAAACGCACCCAGAGGAACAGGAAAAGAATGAAATACTCATCAGAACTACTAAATAAATTTGAAAATATTTAGACTTGATCAAATAAGTAAAAGCAAGCTCGGAAAATTAGACAAATAGCAAACTTGCAAACTGAAAATATCTTTGAAAAGCAAGTCTTAATCATTAACAAATGGTTTTTTACTAATTCATTAGGTATCAAGATGAGCATAGTAAGTAGTAAAAGAGCCTGAGTATCCATAACAGAGTGGGAAGGAAAACTGGAAAACTTATCAGTTCCCTGTCCCTCACAAAGCATTTGACCCTGTGGGGTTCTTAAAATGCTAATGAAGCAGCAGTTCTACCACAGAGCCATTTCTAATCATAGGAAAAGACAAGAAGACACCTATTTATGTTGTCAAATGAACTCAAAAAGTGAAGAGGCTTTGCTAGAAAATAAATGACTAAGCTTTATTCAAGGTTCTCAGAGTTTGCAAACTGGAAACACAGGCCAAACTTAGAAGTGTTCCAAAGGAGAAAGAAAAGCTGAGGGCTCTTATAGGAAAGAGTATATTCCTGAGAATTAGTCCTGCATTCTTAGCATCATGACTGGTCCAAGAAGGTAATCTTCAGATGTCCACTAGTCTGGACAATGCAACAGTTTCTTCTTGAAGTCATGTCGATGGTCATCTGAAGGTTTGATGTGTGTCCAGGCATTAACACTGCGATCTGATGTGCATTCAGGTATTAATACCGGACTGGGAAGTTCAGAAGTTTAAGACTGGCTAAGGCATGCCTCAGACCTTGACTACTTTTAGTAATTTAGTGACTCCATTTTCTTTCTTTACTCTTCCTCAATGCTGTAGGTAGCATACAAGTATGCTATAAATGAAGTCAAGAACAAAAGAAAATGGAAGTCTCACATCTGAGCGTGGGGTGGAGAATCTTGGAGAGTGCTAAAATACATATTTTAGGCCAGTGAGCTGAGGGCAGTGTTTTAAAGAAGCTGCGATGGTGCCATTTGGCAGTATTTGTCTCAGTGTGGTTGCTTCCACTGGCTGGACAGGAGGAAGCCTTAGGTGCTTATTTTAATGTTTGTCTGAGGTATTCCAACCAGCCATACATTGTCCTTTTGTTGATACTTGCCTTCTGTTTATGGCAAGTGAAAGTGGTTCTCCATTTGAGTTACTAACATTTACTTTACTTTTAAAAATATTTGTATTAAAAAGTGAGCTTTAGAGAAATATATTAAGTAAATTATCATTTAGGCTATATGTGGATATATGGCAAACAATGGAATACCAATGGTTAAAGTTGGGGAAATAGGAATAAGAAAATAGCTTTATCATTTCTGCTTAGGTAAGAATCAAATACAATAGAAGGGATAAACCTTGAAGTAGACAAAAACATACTTCCAGAATCAGCTTCCTCTTAGAGATGCAAAAGATGGTGTGTAAAGGGAGGCGATGTCTGCCCCTATGCCTGCCCCTGTGAGTGGTGCGGAGATTGAATTAGAGCCTTTCAGCCCTGCTCGCTCTTCCCAGTCTACCCTCCTTGCCCAACCACCTCTCCTAATTCAACCTTGGCCCCGTCAGCCCTGCAGAGCCACCCTTTTCTGCCTTACCCCACTGCCTCACCTGTGCCCACGATGATCACAGGAACCCTTGACTGCCCCCGTCTCACCTGGTAGCATTAATAGGCAGAGGTGGGAGCAGGCCGTCTTTGGACACTTGGCCAGGAGCACTTTGTGCTGTTCCTTTTTGCTCAGCATGGTGGTGTTGACTGGTTCTGCCTTTGTGTATGACTCAGCCAGCACCAGCATTTTAATCCATTCCCTTGTAATGCTGGGGTGAAAAACATGGGCCCCCAATAAGGAATTCACAGCATTGGCAGTCCAGAGGAGAGATGCCTTTTTGCTAGAAATGTGGCAGTGGGAAGGAATGAAGCATTCTGGGGGTACTGGGCCTGATGGGGACAAGGAAAGGAAATGTGCAAGGTGCGGCTGTGTGCCCCCCATTTCTGAGGTGGTCAAGGGATCCTGGACCTTCCATACTCTAGTCTGCATGGCTCCCTTCCCTACCTTCTGCTGCCTCGTCCTCCCGCCCCAGGGCTAGCCTTCCAGCATATCTAGGACTTACTGGAACCCACCCCAAGCTGTTGATGTGACTTCCACCTCTGGAATGGACAGTGTAATGCTGCTGGGGGTTGTCAGCTTCCCAGTGGTTAGACAGGGTGGTCATACGAACCTTTCTCTGCTGGTTCAGAAGCTCCTATGGGTCTTCCAGAGTAAGCTCATTATACATTTACATGGTGCAGGCCTGTCATGCACCCTTCATGCTCATACTTGGATATTGAAACTACTCAGCGGGGGAAGGGAGGGGAGGGAGCCAGGCCTAAGGGCTCCAGAGTTTCAGAGGGGGATGGGAGTGACTGGGGTCTGGGACCTTCCCAGGGCATCAGTTCAGGAAGGAGGAGCAGGCATCACTCTCAACAGTTATCCACTGTCATGTTGGCTGTTGTCCATCACTTTCTCCTAATTACAGAGGAAAGGAGTTGAGTGCCGGTGGTTAGAATTTTGGATAAATCGGAGGCTGCTTTGTCTAGAAGCACATAGACGTAAATCAACGTTAGAGTCAGAGTTGCATATCTTGTCCTTGCCCATTCTGAGACTGTTCTAACCAGTGATGCTGTCTTCTTTTTTTGGCAGTAATCCAGTCCCTCATAGCACTGGTGAACGACCCCCAGCCCGAGCACCCCCTTCGGGCTGACCTAGCTGAAGAATACTCTAAGGACCGTAAAAAATTCTGTAAGAATGCTGAAGAGTTTACAAAGAAATATGGGGAAAAGCGACCTGTGGACTAAAATCTGCCGCGATTGATTCCAGCGAGTGTGAGCAGAGCCCCCAAGCAGTGCACTCAGACATCCCGCAAAGCAGGACTCTGTGGAAAATTGACACGTGCCACCGCCTGGTGTTTGCTTGTGGCAGTTACTAACTTTCTACAGTTTTCTTAATCAAAAGTGGTCTAGGTAACCTGTAAAGAAAGGATTAAAAATTTAAGATGTTCTAGTTCTGCTTTCTTTGTTTTAAAAATCACTGCTTCAGTCTACTTTAAAAGAATGGTGTTTTTTTCCTTGTCCAAATTTATCCAAAATTTCAATTTACATTTAGACCTTAAGGTTTAAAAAAAAAAAGGTTGTGGTTCCCTTTCTTCCCCTGCCCTTGCCAACTCCTACTTTCTTGCATTCAGTTTATTTTTCACTCATTCACTTCTCCAGACCCAGGCCCTGCCTGCTCCACAAAGGAGAAGAGACAGTTCTGTCTTGTCTGGTGGCTTCTCTTCTCCCGTGTTGCACTGCCCAGTGTGGGAGTTGGTTCTCCTGGCTACAATTTATAGCATCCTTTTAAAAATTTAAAAACAAAGCACCACCACTACCACCACTCCCTAAAAAAAAAGCTGTGAAACGGGAGGCCCAACTCTTATGTAAAAATCTGGCCAGTGTTACCACAATAACGATTAAATGGCAGCCCTGATGTCTGTGTGTGTGATTGAACTCCAGCCTGGCCTGGCCTGCTTGGGGAAACCCTGCAATATCAGGTCTGTGGCCTGCCAGCCAGAGGACAATGTGCACTTGTGTGAGGAATTTCTCACCAGAGAAGCTCCTGAGGTCAAAGGTTGATGCTCCTCCCTGCAGCCATTTTAGAAGATGTGCTGGTAATTGCAGACAACGCTAAAGCCAGAATATCCATTTGAAATTCCACGTTCACCTGTCACCAAGCTCCATCCGAATGTGCCACGGAGCTCGCTCTCCAATTCCTCAGTGCAGCAGCCCCACCGCGGCCCTCCCTCAGCACGGTTTGACCTTTTGCGGGGTTGGAATTGGCAGGACTCGGCTATAGCCAGCACCAGTCTGGGGTTACTGGTGCCCTGCTGGCCCCTTCCTTCGGAGCAGCTGGCCAGGCCAGCCCAGGAACAAGACGGCCTTCCCTCTCCCTCTGGACTCACAGCCTTTGCAGAGTCAAGCTCCACTTGAAGCTCTCTCAGTAATATCCTTTACATGTGTTTTATGTACAAAAACAAAAACATTTGTTTTGACTGCCTTTTTTTGTAGAAATAAAAATTGACCTTAGAATTTATCATCAGATGAACTTGTAAGGATTTGAATGTTAATGTCTTTTTCAAAGCAAGTGGGACTTTCCCTGAAATAGTAGAGAATACATGTCACTGACACCCAGAGGAAAGCTGATGATCCAAATGCCATGCGTCACCAACTCTGCTTCTGCCACTGGTGGCTTCCCTTCTTGGCTCTCAGGGGGAGTAGATCCTGTGCAGAAATGACTTCAAGAAACTTTGCTTTGTTTTCATTTTAGTTCTAAAACTTGAGCTCTTTCCAGAGCTTATGACCTGTAAGACAGCTTGGTTTTACCTATGCAGAAGTGAGAGTGATGGGTAAGTCGGGCAGCATAACGTTTAGTTGTCTAGGTGTGTGGCCCCTGTGGTGTGTCAATGAACTTGGCTTCTTTAGTCCTAGGTACTCAGGGGGCATGTTCTGGAGACTTCGGTGTGCCCATTATGGCAAGAGCACTGGGCCAGCATTTCCACATCTGTCTCTTAATTAGCAGAATGGTGACGGTGGACTTTATTTCACTCATACACAGATTTGTAATAAAATGCCAAATTCTGTCAGAAGCTATCCAAATAAGCTACCATCTGTTATCTTTGCTTCTCTGAATCCAGAATTATTGCCATTCTTGGAAACTTTCCCATTGCTTCGTGTTTCTACAAGTGTAGCTCTGCCTGCCTGTCACTCCTCACTGCTCACCAAAGGAGAATAGCTTTGTCAAAGCCGGCAGCCCCCCAGGGGACTCTCAGCCCTGGCATTACACCCCATGATTTGCTCCATTCAGGAAGGCCTGGTCCCAGGAAGGCTATGGGTGGTCCCTCCTTCAGGCCTGGGCAACTGGATAAGCTGGGCTGCCACCAACGAGTTCAAGGTGGTCACCTAGCCCTCCAAGCAGGCTTTGAGCATGCTGGCAGGCAGCCCTGGCAGCTCCACAACCAAACAGCTGGGTCCTCTGGGGGAGAAGAGAGCTGTTGGGCTGCCACCACTGACCCGAGCCCACTCAGGAATTCACAGCCGCCTGATCCAAAGTGTCCCAGGTCTTCCCCCTCCTCCCTGCCCTTGCCCCACATGGCAGAGAATAGGCTTTCTAAGATGCTGTGATCCCGTTCTGCTGCCCTTAATAAAAATGCTCTCCGACACTGTCGTGGTTGTGTGGGTTTCTTCCTTACTGGTGGAGGACAGTGCCAGGGGCCTGTGCTCTCAGAGACGGGGATAGCAGGTCATCGGGCTTCTGGTCTCCTGCAGCTTCTGCCTGCTCCTCTCTCCCCGTGCCCAGCCTCCAAAAGAGGCACGCAGGGATGTTCCAGCCTTCCCCGAGCGAAGCAGAAAAGGCTGGAGAGTCCAGACTATTGAGATCTGCAGTGGGACCCTTTGAGTATCTGAGGGATCACCCTACTAGAGGGACAGCACCTCTGCGTGTATTCATCACTTCGGTCCTGCCAGCTCCAAGAGTGATATCCACATTTAGCAGAGGAGCAAGTTGGCCATCCTGATCAAAGTCATGGAACTAATGAGGGTGTGCCTGAGGGTGGGGCTATGCCATTTTCTCAAAGGTTCCAGTCAGAAACGCCTGAGTCCCCAGAACAGCAGACTGCTAAGGTGCTGACTCAGCCCAAGGCCCAACTGGGGCCCTGACACTATTTTCAGTCAGTCAAATTCCTTGCCTGTAATTTGACACCGGCTGAGACCAGGCCTGTCCTGTCAGCCAGGTGGGCAGGTTTCTGGGAGAGACTATCTGAGGTGTCATTTTACCAGGAAGCAAGGAGCAAGCCTTTCCTTTGATTATCTGGTCTGGGTACTCTGCCACATCCCAACACTTTATCCTCTGTAGCTCAGGACAACCCATGGGTACCATTATCCCTATTTTCACAGGAAACGGGTTCAGTGACAGCCAAGGACACCTGGCCTGTGTTCTTACAGTCTGGCTCTTGTTGCATTCCACTATCTGACCCAATGGAAGGCAAAGCCAGAGATGATCTGAGTTCTTCCTGCCCCTTCTGCACTGGCTTCTCTTTGCTTCCCTCATGAAATGTGGGGGTGTGGCACCAACCTGTGGAGCAGAGCTGAAGTTGGGACTTTAACATAGTGCATGCCCTGACCAGTACTTGATTAATAGCCAATTCTGGATGATTGGAAGTGTTTTTGCTTGCAAACTGGACTCCTGAGGGCACCATGTGGGCCTCGGGATCAGAGCAAAATGACTACCCAACACTGCAGAGGCATAACCAAAGCCCAAGGAAGGAAGTTATTTCCTCTGGACAATATTCCCTGACCTCTTCAGGCTGGGTTAGGAACTCCTCTGACCCCACACTTAGCTGTGTGTTCCTTTCGCTACCCCACTGCATCCTGGATGACACCAACTGTTCCTGTGTAGCCAACTGAGCTCCTCACAGGCCGGGCTGTGTCCCAGCACCCAGCCCTGGCCTGGCACAGAGCAGACCCTCAATATGTGACTGACAAATGAGTGGATAATAGTAAACCCTTTGCCTAAGCCACCCAGCCAACAGCAGGTTTGGCATAATAATACCCCCGTCTCCTTGGTGGGTGGGGCACCAGTAACCAGCCCCTCAATGGGCCCTGCGCCACCTATGGCCCTCTTCTCTTACTACCTTCTCTCCATTTGTGAGATGGAACTCGGTCTCCTGTGTATCCTCTCGGGTTGGCCATGCTCCCTCTCTTCTCTCCACTGTTAAACACTCATCCCCAGGGCTGATCCGGGCCTTCATCTCTGGTCATCCCTCTCTCCTTCCCTGGGTGACAGTAGCCACTCCTACAGCTTCATCTAACATCTGTGCAGGCCCCCAAGTCTCTCCTGTCCACCTACGCCTCTATCCTGAGAATCAGAACTACACAGCCAGCTGCCTCCTCCTCCTCCTCCTCAGTACAGCAGAACCCCCCGCAAAGGAGGTGGCCCTGTACCAACAGGCTGCCTTCAGGCCACCCCTGCCAGCTCAATCCAGAAGCTTGCAGGAGTGTGGCCAGACCCCAGTGGGCTGAGGAAAGAAGGTGAGGGTGAGGCAGCAGAAGATATCAAACTCAGTAATTCCAGTTCTCAGACATGGATGGAAGGAGGAAAGGGCCAGTGCCTGGAAGAGTCAAGGTCAAGAAAAGGTTAGGATGGAAAATGGAGGAAGAAAAGCGGAAACTGAATCCACAGTCAAGGATAGGATGAGGGGCAGGAGGGCAGGAACATGATCCCCCCTCACTGCTTCAGAAAGCTGCATATTCTTCAAGGCTGCCTAGGCCAGGACAGAGCTCTGTTGGCACCTGATTCCATGCCTGGCACAGTGCATAGAAAATACATAAACAGGTAGCTTCGAATCCCTGCTCTGCCACGCCCACCTCTAGGTCTGCAAAAGGAGGACATTGGTGCCTGCACACAGGCACTAACATGAGACAAGAAGGACCATTTGATGTTCCATCTGCCTTTCCATCCTCTAGAGCAGGGTAGGACTCCCTGTGCTCCAGAGAACTCCTTGCCCTCTTCCCCACCTGTTCCCTGAATCTCCAGGTCCAAGCCACATGGGCTTCAGTCACAGGGCATCCACACATCACTAGTCCAGTTTGGAATCCAGGATCTCATTTCCACAGAAGACTTCCCTCCTGGAAAAATTTCAATGAACTCCTCTGAGCTTGCAGGACTTCCTCAGATCTGTCCCCTAGGATGGCAAAAGGCTGCTTACTTAGAACAGGTGACTTCTTTTTAAATAAAAATTGAGATGATAATATACCTCACAAAAAGTAGACTGGTGAGATATCCCCCTTCCTACCCCAAATAATAAAATCTAAACATGAATGAAAGTAGACTTTGGAAGTTTTCTGAAATAGCGACCTGGTTTGGGCCCCAAGGGAGTTGCTTTTGTCCATTCGTGTGTCTGCGAAGGTTTTCTGGGCACAGTTTTAAATCATCCAAGTTTACAAGAAACATGTTATTTTATTAATACAATAATTTCTCCCCACTACACCTAAACAAGATGCTTACATGGAAACATAAAGGGCATCAAATGTTTGGCAGGCCCCAGGCCCAGATGTCACAGCTTGACCCGCCTGCAGCCAAGAGGGCTTGCTGAAGCTCTGGCCACCACTATTGCGTCATGAGGATATGGGCATAGAGGTAACATCGTTCTGCCCAGGGAAGTCACAGAACCCATTCAAGGACCTGGTCTGGGGCTGTGCCAAAGCTCCATCCTTGCCCCTTCCTGAGCACCAAGACATTAGTTCTTGGTTGTCAGGGTCACAGTTGGGAGGGCTCCAGGAAGGTTTCCAGAGTGGCTTCACCAGGGACCCCCTCCCCTGGTCTTTTGGAGTCTAGATCATGGAGGGCGCAGAGCTGCACGCCATCCTGGGCAAGCCGGGCCCGCAGTGTGGGTTCTGTGAGGACATGCAGCTCATGCAGCCGCTCCCAAGAGCAGGAAAAGGCATCAGGGCCCTCACCGCAGCCCCCAGCCGGAGGCACACTGGGGTAGCCTGGGTGGGCCATCAGCTCCGCTGTCAAGGAGTGGCCTGTGGGTGTACCTTCCAGGGCCCGGGCCAGAGCCCCCGACACACGGTGAACCGACATGTGCCGGCCACAGGTACTCAGGCCCACGAAGGCATCGGTCCACCTGTGGATACCTGGGTATCAGAGGAAGGGACTGGCAGGCAGGACAGTGTCAGGAAGGGCTAGGAAGCGGGCGGGAAGGATCTGGGGTGGAGGCACCGCTGGGCGAAACCCGACTCCCTTTGAGCTGGCCAGGTGAATGTCCATCTAGACCCACTGGGACCTAGGCCGGGCAGGTGGCAGGGCATGCGAGTAGGGTGGGAGAAGGCTCACCTTAGGCCGCGGCGGGAGAAAGGACCTACAGCGGCACTGGCGTCGTGTGCCACAGCGCAGGCGAAGGCCCGCGCAGGAGCCTCGAGCCATGTGCAGCCGCCTATTCCTCGCTCCAGAGGTAGCCTTGTGAAGCGCACCCCGTGGGCCTGCAGCGCCTCAGCGAACACCTGGCACACGCCTGAGAATGGGGTGAAGTCAGGAAGGGGCATGTCTCCCCAACTGCGACCCTCTCCCTGCCTGGTACCACCAACCCACGCACCTGGGAGCACGTGCACGTGCTGGTGCCCGTCCACATGAGTGGGATTCCTGCCCAGTAATTCCTGGAAGCGGCTCAACTGGGCCTCCAGTTCTTCCCTCACCTGGAAGGAGAGGACGATAGGCACCTTGAACGTCCGGGCTCAGTGACCGAGGAGGACCCCTCCCTGCACCTCCAACTGACTGCTTCAGTGTTGGAACCAGGGAGGCATCTAGCTTCCGCTCCTGCCCCTGATGGCGTCACCCTATCTCGGGACGGAGCCTTGGGGGTGGGGGGAATCATCCTTTTGCAGCCGCATTTCCGCACCTGGGACAAGGCCACGTCTCCGGCCGCCACCGCCTCGCGGAATCCCATCTTGCCCAGGAAGAAGCCTTCGGGGCTGAGCAGCGATGAGGTGCCGCGGCGGGCCGGGCCCACGGGGCGGCCCTCGGACAAGTTGGCGTGGAGGCCGGTGGGAATTTGGTGCCTGCGGGCCGAACGCAAGCGGGAGCACTGGCGGCCGCAGGGCGTTGGCGCCCCAAGTCCGCCCTGACCCTGTAGGGGGCCGCCGCTCACCTGCGGGCCAGCTCCGCCGCGCTCTCCGCCGCCGCGCCATTGACCAGCAGGGACGCGCTGGTCACAGCCCCCGCCAGGAAGGCCTCTACGATGCCCTCATCCCGCCGCGGGCAGTAACCAAAGTCATCTGCAGTGATCACCAACCGCACGCGCGGCCTGGCCATCTCTGCCTACGCCCGCGGCTGGGGACCTGAGGGGAGTGGACAGTCCAGGCCCGCCCCTAAACACTGCCCAAGACCCCGCCCCGACGCACACACCACGACACACCAGCACCTCGCCTTTGTTCTCGCCACCTAGCGGTCCCGCCTTGGCCCTGCAACGACCTCCCACCACCACCTCCACACAGTGTGCACCGCCATAACCTGACCACGGTTCCACTTATTAATGCGAAACTTTCGGTGACTGCAAAAATGATATTTAATATGAAAAATACAGAGAAAAAGTCCTGAATAAAAAAATCTCTTACGCTTTCCAGAGATCACCACTGTTAACTTCTTGGGTAGTGTCCTTCCAATATTTTTGCTAAGCAAATAGACACAATTCTTCTTCACCCCCACCCCCAAGTTTTTTGTGTTTTGAGAAATAATGATCAAATTAGTTATCTCATTCTTTTAATTTTTTTGATAGTGACTATGAACTTTTTCATGTTTTTATTCTTTGTATTTCTTTTTTACAAAATTGCCCATTTGTCTTTTCCTGATTTTTCTAAAATAAGGCTTTTTTTGTGATTTGTAAAAGCTCTAAACAATAAGAAAATGAAAGAAAACATGTAATGCCAGTGGCTTCGTTTGAGAAAGCATTAGCCCCTGCTTCCCTCTCTTGAGCTCTGTGCAAGAGGTTACATTCATAATCTTATTTTTTTCTCTGTGGTCCAGAGAAGCTTTCC